CCCTCCCTCCATCCTTTTCCCTCTCTTCATCCTTTTCCTCCTGCCCATTCTTCCCTTTCTCCGTAATTTCCCCCCTTCCATCTATCCATCCTCAATCTATTCATTCACACCCACGCACACTCCGTTACCCCGAGGAACACGACCGCCCCAGCCTAGGACCCTCCAGGGAAGGAGGCTCGGGGAGGCCCCCACCAAGCCCCGGGCGTTTTCCCCTAACCGGGAGCATCTCTGCAGAGCCGACAGCACCTGCTGCTGGAAGCGGGATCTGAGTGCAGAGGAGCCAGGCACGGTGCTTCGCATACAAACCACGCTTGCTCAGAGCAGTTTCAGGCAGCTGCAGGCTGCCGTCTGCAGCCCTTTCCCATAAGCCAGCATCTGCCTCAACGAGCTTAATGCAGGCACCTAGTTTTCGGGCTGGTAGCAGTACTAACACCCAAACAAAATCGGATTGCCCCCCTTCCTCTCAATGGAGGCATAATACTGACTTGTTGCGTTTCCCAATGCTATCACACGTAAGCACAACTTGGCAGATTTCCTTCCCCTGACAAAGAAATCTCAGGAGGGCTGAACTGACCTCAAGATTCGCTTCCCTAGTCGGGGAGGGACCCTTCCTTCCCAGAGCAGGACGGCTGTTTGCAGCAAGCCCAGAGTCCTTCGGGCCAGCAGGCTCGGTATGGGGAGAAGTAGCGTATTGTGCCTGTCCAATTCCAAGTGAGGGCGCGAAGCTGTCAGTTCTTGCTTTGACATTTTGAATCCCCCAGGAAACCATGACAATTGCTAACACTATCCAGAAAAATGTCATTTTAAATGCCGTTCTGTTTTTGCAAAGGGCCTAACAACTAACATCATCCTGCTGGCAGGTGCTTTATAGTATGGGAAAAGCTCTTTTTCTTGACCTTTCAAAGTGGTCTCATTGTGATTGATAGGGTGTGGGGTGCCTTGCACTGTAGTGCACATATCTCTCAAGAGAGAAAGCAAGTAGTGAGGAAAATGGGAATGAAACCCTTTTTTCTGTGGACTTCAGTGTCTCCCACTGAGGCTGGTATCCAGGAATGCTGGGTTGTGGATCTCTAGAGAACCCTGGCTGAATCACTATGGCTCTAAGCAATTTGCAATCCTGCATGGTTTTGGAGATGGATAAATTCACAGCAGCATCTTATGCATTACTACTCTGATATAAAGGCCTATGTATTCCCTCACAGCATAATGTGTCTGGTCTGTGCCCTGGTGCAGGGAACGAAATGGGTTTCCCTGGTCCATCTGTGACCAGCTGTCATGCAGCCTTCTCTCATCTTCATGTGTTGGTTCCTGATTTTATTCTTGCCACCTGCAGCCTTGATGTCTGTGTCAAGCAACATAAACAGCATGTCAATAGAATGTGGCGTGTGAAATAGCTTCAAGAATACAATTTCATATCTTTCAAAAGGTGGGAAAAAGTTTGTGGGACACAATGGAAAAAGAATGCACAGCTTAAGAAAATCTAGCACAGTACAAGTGATTTGGAAAAAAATATTCCTTAAGTATGTTTTCCAGGAGAATAACTTTTTGGTTATACAGCAGCAAAAACTAAATGGTAGGGAAAGGGGCATCAGGAAAGTAAGAAACATGTTTTCATAGAAGAATTGAGAATGTTGGCTGCATAATTTGGGGGAATTTCCTAATAAATTGAAAAACATAGTCTGGATTGCAAAGTTTTCTCATACCCAGGTCCATGATGGAAAAATGCTTAAATATGTTACTATCAAAACAAAGTCATTGTAAAAGAGACTTTGCAAATAGACTAGATGGTCTTGTAATTAATGTATTACTTCTATAGTGCCCTTCACACAAAATCTTTTTTGGTCTCCCGTAGGTCAAAGAACCATGATACTTCATAGGTTTTGATCCAAACAATTGAATTGTGCAAAATTTCACTTATTCTGTGGAAGCAGCTGCACACTCCAGCAGAACCCTGTACTTAATGACAAGGAGACAACTCCTGGTCCAAACATCATGCCATTAGCTCAAACCCTGGCTGAGGGACTTAGTTCTGTAGAGGCTGAGTGCTTCTCACAAGTTTCTGACTGCCTGTGCTCAGATCCGCTTCCTTATGCGAAGGGCAGGGTGCCAGGGTACCTCCAGGAGCTGCTGACTCCGTTCTTTCTTCAGATCTGATTGGTTTGATCGTTGAACTGCTTTGTGGTGGTTAAAAATGTCACCAACACACTGCTACAAGGTAATATACTCTTCACCAAGGAATGTATTCTTGAGCAGTTCAGACCATTTTTGGGCTCCGAGAACTACTGCATGGGCAATTAGACTACAATTTGGGCTCAACAGGAAAAATCCCCGAAAATCTGTACAACTGAGGTATACTTGGTAAGCAAAAGTCTTATATTCTTTTTAATATTAGCCTAAAAGACAATCCAGGGTGTAATTTCTTGTACTGAAATGATGAAAAGCTGTGAGAATTTGGTAGCTAAAGACAAACAAAAACCATGAAAGAACTGCTTGAAATATGTCTGTTTACTCTGTAATCCTATCGAAAAACAACTGGCAATGGTCTGTTTTAAAAATGGAAGAATGAGAAGGTGAACGCATGTGAACATGTTCAGGAGATGCTTAAGGGTCAAATCAATCTTTGCAGCCAGAAGAGGAATCTCTGCCTTTGCAAGCATATCCTGCAATTAAGGTTTTAAAGGGTGGAGTCCACACCACATAACACATTCCTTGAAGCAAGCAGAGTTCAGAACTGAAAAATAATTTTCTCCAGGGAGAACCCATGACTTACTTGATGAGAGGTGAAATTGACACATCTTGAATCATCTATTGCAATAAATGAAGCATATACTTCAAAAATGATTCTGACTAATTTTTAATAATGAGATGTCTTTTAACAAAGGATTACATAGCATAATAGGGATTAACATAACCTAACTACCCATCTGACAAATTTTATGAATTTAAAACTCAGATGAACGTTCTAGGTTTATAGGTCCCCATCCAGCAGATGTTTTAAGTACTTGTTTAAATCTCAGCAAGTGCATATAATCTGTTTTAAGTAGGGTTACTCCATATACTTGAGTGCCTTGTTAGCTCAGAGTGATCTAGCATGGTGGAGTCTTACTCTTTTATCATTGTAACATAAGCTAGCACTCTTCCGACATTTTAATGGAGCTCTGCAGAGTCTGTCTATTATAATACCCTACCTATGCATCCTAATTGTTATTTTGAAACCTTTTGATGTTATACTATAGAGGTGTTTGCCAAGATGAGGTCTGCTTCTTTATTATCTGTCTTTCAGGGCATTTTACATTAACTTTCAC